ACATACTCATTGTAAAGATTTCAAAAAAGATAGAAATAAAGCAGTTCAATTTGCTATCATAATCTTATTATGATAAAATATCTGTGACACTACATGTCTGAAAGCTACATTTCAACCCATTTCGTACATATACCACCCCTAGAAATTTTTTCATTAAAATTATGCAGTAAAACATTTTTAGTTAAAGTTTGTTGCATGGAAACATCTTGGGAATCTCGGGTAATTTTTACATCGCGAGTTTTAATGAGTGCTTTTTTGACTGTGACCTGTGACCTGTGACCTGTTAAAGAAACCTGCTGGGTGTCGGCGGGGAGGGAAAGGAGAAAAAATGAGCGCGCGAAGCTTGTGAGCGTGCGGGAAGAGGACCCTCCTCCTCCCCTCCCAAAACTCCCATGCTCCTTTTGACCCTTTCCCTTCCCTTCTACGCAGGCGTGCTTTGCTGACAGCATGTTCAAATTAATTCTTCATGCTAAAGCGAAAGCCTGAGTTTTGTCAACAACTTTTGCAGTCATTTTATCGGCCATGGCTTTATCAGTCGTTGTTAAAACTACAGCTTGGACTCCTTCCTCGTTAAGGCTGGACACTTGGCTTTTCATTAGGGAAATGAAAGGGAAAATAACAAGACAAACTGTCTCAACAACTTCTCTTTCACCATGTTTAAAAAAGTCCAACACCAACGGCGCAGTGTGGATTGTTAGGATCCAGTCGGTGAAATCATCAACACGTCTCGACGACTAATGTATCCTTCAAGTACTCCGTGTTGATTCAGTCCGATTTCTTTGAAACCACGCTTATTAAAACCGAGGTTTTAATATAGCTTTTTGAACATTCATTTCGATCGCTTCGCAAGGATCATGTTTCATGTATAATAACGTCAGGCAGTTTCACTCTTTCAACTGGAGATCAGTGCATTCACACCCCCAGCACACCACCAACCAGAAAACTGGTCGGTAAAAAATGGCGCACTGCAGGCGAGAACACTGGAAACAGACTTTGAGAAAGTCTAGTATGAAAGATAAATTTGATTCTCTGTTATTGTGAAGAACAGAAATCAATGAACTACATCATTACATTAAATTATGTCAAGTTACAATGGTCATCATTTTTTAGCTTCTCCTTTCAGTCATTTCATAATAACAATAACCATTTCTATTATAATTATAAGTACATGTACATGTGATTAGAAAACACAGTACTTGAACCCTTGAAACGTTACTTATAGCATGTTACTTGTTGTTTTAAACTTTGTAGTTCCAGCAAGTTTTATCAGCAAACCAACTAACGAGACAATCAATGAAACAGAGACAGTGACGTTCATGTGTGATGCATCTGGTAACCCAACCCCTAACATTACATGGTTCAGAGGTGGACAAACTGTGGCCACAGGCAGAACACTTAGCTTTCCAGCCTTCAGGAATCAGTCAGGATACTACTTGTGTGTTGCTGACAATGACTTGAATGTGACTCCGAATGCCAGTGCTTATCTTGAAGTGCATTGTAAGTTTAAATCAGTCAGTCTTATTCTCATGTACAAGGTTGTGCAGATATGATTTCATAATTTAGTTTATTATATGGCTGTGTCTCACAAGGACTGGGAACTACCGAATTCACGAACTTGATTGGCTGAAATCGATATTGACCGTGGTCTAGATTTTCCCATCTAGACCGGCATCTAGACCGGTTTCATTTTACGTTGACAAAGTAGCAAACTAAAATACAAAAATGTTCACCAAATGTTCTTTTATTTTCTTCTCAATCATT